CTTAATCATGTTCCCTTTCTTACTAATTGTATCACACCCGAACATTTTCCTAACCTCTCTGGAACTTCTTTAACTTTCTAACCTGTGAAATCAGGGTAATTTGATGATGAGTACACAAATGCATATAAATCATCAAGTAATATATTGTAATATATTGGTCACAGAAACAAATGAAATATTAACAACAAACTTCAATGCCTATAACAATCAGTTTATTTTAGTGGAAATCCTGTGGTGGGAATATAAGGTAAGATGTTTTATCACTATAATATTTGTTGTCAGAGCAAAGGACAAATATTTCATCTGATTTTATCATTCGTTCTCCAACCTAATTTGTAAATATACTGTAAGTACCCTGTTATACTTAAGTATAGGGCCTCCTAAAATCCATTTGGTTGGCTTCAAATCTGATCAGGAGTTGTTTTGCATATTTATTTACTGGCCCTTGAATTTCCAGGATAGTATTAAACAGTGAGTAAGCTAAAACAGACATGTAAAATTTGGTGAGCCGACCCTGGTCGTATCGATGAAATTTGTGGCATGTAGATGTGGACTAAGACAGTGAGCCTCTTTCATTTTCACCGTGCACTGAACTCTCAGAACTCGGAAGTGTATATTCAGGGAACTCACCACCCCTAGGCAAAAACTGGATCGAGGGATTGCTCCCTTCTTGAGTGAACAACTCTTGCCTCACCAGCTTAAATGTGTTTTTGCTTAAATAAGCCATCTCATTTTACATTGTTTATTAAGCATTTCCACGACGAATCTCCATCCTTTGGAGAATGGAGAAGCAAAGTGATGGAAACACTACCTGTAATCAGAGAGACAGTGGAGTGCTGAGGCCTCCAGAAAAAAGAGAGATGAGCCTCAAAATCACTGTGCAAGTAAAAGAAGCCAGACACAAAAGAGCAATACTATGATTCCATTTCCATGAAACATCCAAAAGCAAAACTCTATAGAGTGTGTAGATTAAAACCTGCCTTAGAAGGAGGAGTAATTACAGTATATGGACTGGCTAAAATCACTGAATTGTAACATCTATGGTATATAGAAATTACATCTCAACAAAGCTGTTGAGCAGCCACAATGAAATTTAGCATGTGTTCTTTTTCTCCTAGTCCACACTAATGGGAGGAAACATTACCTTGCTTGGTCTCACTCTCCTAAACATTTTTGTTGAAGCAAACCCAAGAAAGTTTATAAAAGGTGATCAGAAGAACAACTCAGGCAACCATGTAACTCTCAGCTTGATATTATTGGAGCAAGTGATAAAACTGTGGAAAATATATTCACATAGTTCCCAGCATCAATTTGTGGCTTCTGAGTAAATTATCTTCATAACTTTTAATATTTAACTATCTGTCTAAAGTGTTGGCCCACCAAAAAAAAAAAATCAGCAGGGGAGAAGCACGGAGAGTTATTTATTTATTTGTGTTTGCAGTGCCCTCTCTCGTGATCAGATGTTTTACAGATTAAGTAGAAGGGAGGGGGAAATCCTGCTGCAGGAAAAACAAAACTAAGGCCAAGTTTGCTTTCTGTCATTACTTTCCTCCACACTCCCCCTGAGTGTTCTTCTTCCTTTTTTTCCTGCCCCTTATTGGGACTTTGACAAATGACAATGCAAGAGGAGAATTTATGTTGGGTCTTGGAGATTAGCACATTATCACAAGCAAAACATAGCCCTTGGCCTCCGCCACTGGGGAGCAATTGAAAGAGTCTTCAAATGTGATGCATGGGTCAAGACCCATTTCTGCAGAAGTGGGGATGCTGTTACACCAGCACAAGCCTTGGGAGAAGCCCTTGGAGATCCAGGTGAAGACACTGAGCATTGGATGAGAAGTATTTAGCCAGAAAGCTCACTCTGGAAAGGAAAGAGGAACCGCGTAGCTCCCTGAAGACTGCCGTGTTGAATGATTTAAGGCTACCTGTAGGAAATGCCTTCTGCTTTATTGCTTTTTAGTCTCCCTTCTTTTCTGGAAGAAAAAGAAGAGGAAAAAAAAAAAAAAGCA